GCTGACACACTGTTTTAACAGTGAATAGCCACAGAGTGATTTCTTGCTCTCTCTTCTGTACAGTGGTTGTCTAAAGGGAGCCACAGGCATAGGAGACAACCTCACCTGCAGACTTTACGCCCCAAGGCTGTTGCTTCCAGCCAGCTCTCAAGTCCATCAGTGCATCCTGATGGCACACTTTCCTAGCGGTTCTGAATCATTTCTATGCATAATCCCTGCCAGTTTGCACTGAAAAACTTGCGAGGCTAGGAGCACTGTCACAGTCAGTGAGCCTGAAAGCTGTCACACAAACCCCTTTACCTGAGCGCCCTCAGCTTCTGCCTCATTGGCCACGGGCGGCAGCGGATGTTGGACATAATCTCCTTCTGGTACTGGATGTTCTGAAAGATCTGCTCCGGGTCATGGCTCTCAGCCTTTTCTTCACCAGCATCTTCATCCGAGTTGCTAGCAGTCCAGCACAAGAGGAAAACCGAGACAAATTATTCCCATTCAGATCCACAGCAAACTAGATTTGCACAGGATCTAACCTATTAGAGCAAGGTAACAGCAGTAAGTTAACTCACATGAACTTTTTGTTTTAAAGTTGATGAGTAATTTGGATGATTTTCTTATCTCCAGGATGTGCCTTTTTCCCTCCCTGTTGTTTGTTGCTCAGTCATAAATTATCCTCACTCCCCACAAAAAAATCCCAGGCTTTCTTCTCTGAGCATTTCCAGCCATACAGCTTGTACATCATGCTAGCAAGACACTTCATATATTTTTCTGGAACAGAGTGCTGTCCGAACATCTCCAGCAAGGGTACTTAACATTCATTTATTCACCACATGGTGTTGGCCTTTTATTTCGATTGTAATAGTGATTAAATATTTTCTTGTTAGAATGGGGGGAAGAGACACTTAGATCATAGTTGCCCTTCCTTTCTGTTCTTTGCTGAGGGGGACAGGAGTGTGGGACCCCCCACACTATGAACTATTCCTCTCTGTAAAAAGATTCACATGCTTTGATGCAGGTTTCTGTGGATAATTATTAAATCATCTTTTCTGATGCTGTCACCACATTTGCTCTACCGAAACAGAGTGTTGGTATATAAAACACCAGCAACACTCATTCTCACAGATGCTTAAAAATGTATGGTAACTGTTTGCCCCCAAATGAAAGGAAGAGACCTGAAGTACTGCAACAGCCACCAGCTAGGAAGGTTTCTAATTATATTGTTATGTACTTTTTGGGAGTGTTCTTGGCAATTTTTCTGAAAAAGCACTAACTTTTAATCACTGAGAAATAAACTATAACCTAAGCCACGCCTTGTAAGAACATACGTCTTCAGATTACTGATCCATCAGTCCAGAGTCCTGTCACCTCAGTCACAAGGGACATTTGAGGAATATATATGATTACACAGGAGAAGTATAGAGAGACATCTTACTTTGCTATGCCATAAACTCATTGGAATTACATGGTTTTAGGTACAGTGTTCATGTTGTGGTATGAACATGACTGTTGTGAAAATAAAACAAACAAAAAACAACAACAACAACAACAACAACAAAAAAAAAACAACCACCACAAAGAGTACCGGAAATGCATCTAAATAGAGGGAGAAGGGTGATTGTTCTCATGCTCCTTTCCACTGTATAAATGAAGTGAAATTACAAGATCCCGCTTCTGTGCTAGCTACGGCAGATCTGCAGCTGGGGAGCGAGGAGGGTCTCTTACCTGTGGGGAGGAGGGTCTCTTACCTGTGGGGAGGCTCCTGGTAGGTGTAGATGCCGGCGTGCCGCTTCACCGTCCGGTACTTTTTGCCGGCCTTGGGGGTCCTGGCCGCAGCGGAGCCCGGCGCTGCTGCCATGCTGGCGGCTGCCCGCGGCAGGTGAAGCTGCTGCGCTGGAAGGGAGCCCTCAGCTCGCCGCTCAGACGGCTCGTAAGCAGCCAAATGTTATTAAACAGGGAGCGAGGCGGGAGCGGGAGCTCTGCGGAGCAGAGGATTGCTCCTGCGCCTGATGCTCCAGCCCTGGAGAGGACCTCTGCCCTGCGCTGCTGCGTGCCTTAAAGCTGCAGCGCAGGCAGCCCAGGCAGGGCGCATCTAAGCAAACGCCCAGTCAGGTAGGGAGCAGAGTCCAAGGGTGGGCTAGCTGTGGGCTTTAACTCAAAGCCAGGTTTCCCTTGTCATGGATGGGGTATTCCCTCAAAGTGCCATCCCATTGCACCACACTGGTCTGCTCTGGGTGATGTTTCCATTGAATGCACCGGTCTTCTGTTGACACCTTTGCTTTGTGTGCTTGAGAGAATGTACTTGCTCAGGTAAGATGAGGCAGTTTGAGTTTTGGTCTTTACTAGCAGAGAAAAAGGCAACTTGATTCTCCCTGCAGAACTTCCAGAGCCTTTCTCAGAGGACAGTCTTAACAGAATGGGCAGCTGCTGCTCTCTTGGGCCCTGGCTCAAACCGTTCTCTATGATCTCCATTTGTTACACCTAATTTTATGATTTTTCTTTTGGAGGTACCAAAATACCTGCTATTCAGACCAGTACAAATTACCAAGCAATTAACTTTTTCTTGATAGTTGTGATAACTTAATTATGCTCAGTTCCGTTAATTACTGTATCATCTTTAACATTTACAACAAGCATTGACTAGATTATTGATCATCATAATGGTTATTCCTAGAGCTAAACCACTGGAAAACATTACTATCTGATGCTCATTTCCCATTTCTTCAGCTCAACTACTTAACTGATTTTATTACAAAATCAATTTAATAGATACTAAAAGTGTATTTGAGACACAGAATCACTTTAAAAGACAAGTGGACTGGTGCTGTGATCTTGAGAACCATGTATTAAATAACTATTCTCTCTTGCTTTCTCTATGTCCTGGGGCAAATCCTTGCATTTCCAGGCCTCATTTCCCATCCTTAAAGGATAGAATTTATACATTTCACAGGAATGGTGCTGTTGGTGCCTGTTGCTTACATACTATTACATCTTTAATTATCACCATATCGGCATGAACTTCCTTACTCACTCAAAGTATTCACATGCATGCTACAACTGATAATAAACCACCAGTTTTCACAAGCAAAATACAATGGCATTAACTTTGCCCAGGCTTACATCATTAATCCATTAAGACAGAACAGACTGCTCCAAATTTTTTTGGGACGAGGACAAATGAAGAACTTGACACAAGGTCAGGTGAATTTCCAGTGCCTTTGTCCATTATAGGAACTGCAGGTGTTCTGGGTCACGTTAAAACAGACAGACCAAGAAATCTTGATAGGAATAGTTTCTATAGCCAGAATTTGACACACTGAACATGAGAGAGAAATGAAGAGTTTACTGAGAGTTTTCACATGTTCCTAACTTGGTATTTTCTCTCCTTAATAGCTCTGTGCATATCGCAGCAAACATTTAATTTACATAAATCAATGGTTTGTTGTAGTTAACTTCTATTTGTAGACTCTGACAAGAAAGAACATTAAGTTCTCTCAGCTAAATGTCCCGTACAGAATACCACAGGTTGCTTTTTCCCTCTGCCTCAAGTTAGTCTAAAATATTGCCACTTGCTGAGAGATTTTACTTTTCCATGGTCATAGTTCTGATCATTATATATAAAAATATATATTCTGTCCATACTATATTTTAGTTTGCCACAGGGCTAAACAGTCACAAGTCTCACTATTTATAGTCCATGTGGTGTAATTCACTCCACACTTTTTAGATGACAAGGAAGGACCAGACAAAGACAAGTCCACATTTCCAAAATGCGGCCAATAGTAAAGCTCAGAGCCTCGGGTAGATCTTGTTCAAAGCTTCCCCAGATGCCCAGGAGTTCCACTAGTACAAGGCAGAAGAGGGACAAAACGGAAAAGAAATGCCCCTTTCCGGAGTTCAGTAAAACCAGACAACTGTATTGTGCACCACTACTCTCACGCCGCCTTTTGTCACATATGCATGACTATTGAATGTCATAAAAAAAACATTACTGGAAACACCACTTAGCACATCTACTTAGTACATGTTTTCTTCCATGAACTGAACTTGCTAGTCCCAACTCCACTCTGAGCATCTCTTGTACATACCCCTCCTTTAGCCACAAGAGACTACAGGGTTTGGACTCTGATTTCCAGCTTCCCAAGAGGAATGGACAATAACAATTTCACTTTTTTTCTGTGCTGCATTTTATTATTTTTCATAGTGAAGACTGCAAAATAAAGGCTGTTAAAACTTGGACACATCAAACTATCTGTACCAGCCTTGAATCCACCTGCCTTGGAAAGGCTTTCCTGTTTGTTTCCAGATCAAGGGGCAGACAAAGAATCCTACTATCCTTTCTGAAAGTCAGACCATTCATCAAGGGAAAGCAAACAGCCAAAAGGAACAGGTATCAGCCCAAAAACATGCCTCCATCTCCTTCCATCTGGAAAATCACAGGCCTAGTCTGCATGGCAGAAATGCCCATTAAAGCTTTGATGTTCAGTGTACTCCAAACACATCCGCATCACCACTTTTTTTTTTTTTTTTACCTGCAAGATGTGCTTTCCATTTTAGAATTTAAAAGCAACCGTAAGTCAGCTTGAGTCTACTTCCTTGATTGTAGTTATTGCTTTGCACCTTTGCCAGCAGCACAGTGTTGGGGGCCAGATTCTGCTGCCTTATTTCACAAGAGTAAGTGCCTTTCTAGTCAGGCCAATTGAGTGAAGTCCGTTAGCTGCCTGCTTATTTCAGTTATGTTAAACTCATGTTGCAGGTAAACATCTTGCTAAGGGAAAGCCCCCTACACTTGGAAAGTTGCTTTTGACGCAGTAACAACCTGAATCTCTCATGGAGCGTAAACTGGATCTCTAAAAACTACAAGAGAAAACAGTTTTTTTCTCCCTCTGTTTTGCCATTCCTACATCCCACTTTTCCTGGGCTTTCAGATGCCCTAGTTTTCATTTGAAGGAACCACATGAAAAAGATTGAGACTTAACATCCCACATTTCACAGATAAAGCAGTACCCTTTTAATATGATAGTGGTAAAGCACTACCAAAACCAAGAAAATAGTAACATTAATAATTTATATAGATTTAATTGGCTAGTATATCTTAATATGTCAGGAGGAAGATTAATTTTGTTTCCCTTTGTTAGAAGAAAATCCAAAGTCTAAAAAGCAAAGGGAAAGATTTAAGCCTAACATTGATATAGGTCTAATACAGACAGTGCTGGACTCAACATACGTAATCTGAACTTACTACCAAACACTAAAAGCACAACGAGCAGCAAGAGACTCATGAATTCAGAGGCCATGTAACAGAAGGATGCAGAGTGCATTTTAAGAGAAAAATCAAATGCAAAAGAAGCTTCAAGAAGCTTATCCCTGAAGTTGGTGGTACCCTCCATTGCCCATATGGCCCCTGCAATGGCCTCTTCAAAGAATTCAATCATTCATTTGGGTCGCAAAGAGGATTCTGGTTTTGCTTTTCAACTCAGCAAGCAGTTTAGCAGCCAGAACACCCAGCTGCCCATTTCAATATGCTCTATTGAATCCAGAAACCTACTGGGGTTTGTTTTACTCTGAATGAATACTACAGGGCTTATAGATTTGATTTCAATTGCCATTAACTGAATGTAAAACAGGACATTAACCTTTCACTGCAAAACTTATAGTGGCAGCTCTCTGTGCGTAATAGGAAGCCTCACATTTGATCCATAGGATCATTTTGCATTTTCAAACACTTACCCAGGATAAAGCTGGGTTGGTGAGCTGTGCTTACTGAAAATTCAGACAACCAGTAGGCTATACTTTCCATGTCTCTCCATTTCCATGACATTTCAGTTTAAATTTTCCCCGTCTTTCCAGCACTGCAGTTAAACTCTGGGACCTTTTCAAAATCTCCCTGCTTGGGAGGTTCACAACACTGATGATTCAAATTCCAAGGTAAAAACTCAAAAAGGACTGATTTTTCTTGTCGTGTCTATAAAAAGAGAATACTACCCCTGCAGATCCGTAAGCATGTAAAACAGCGGGGGGGGGGGGGGGG